AGAGGAATTCTCTGGTAAAAGTACTTCCACTTCTGGAGGGAGCTTAGCAAACCAAGTATTTCTGTCTTCCTCCCCTAGTCTACTACTGTAGCATTTTAGTGCCTTCCCATATAACCAAAGTGTCAAGCCCCAGCTGATGAGGAAGGGACTAGAGGAGAGAAACCTGGAGACAGGCTGACAAAGGATGGTCAGTGGATCTGGGAGATGGAGATTTTGGAGGGGGTCACAAGGATATGAGCATGGTGCACTGTCTGCAGATGGAAGCAGAAACAAACCCCACCGTTTTGGGGTTCCTCACTGAGCTTTCTGCTCTTGATTGGGCAGCCTCACCTTGTCAGGAGGAGGGGAGGTTGTTCCTTTGCTTGTCTGAAGAGTGCAGAAAGGAAGCAAGAAGGGGGAAAGTAGTGACAAAACCACACCAAGAAGCTCTGGACTGAGTAGACTGAGCCTGACTTTTGGGTTCTTTACCTGCTTGGGGCAGTAAGGTGTCCCACCTGAGCCCCCAGGTCAACAACATAGTGCTTCATGTATACCAGCTCCTTGGCAGGCTTGTCTTCCAAAATGTAGACTGAAATACAGGCTCATCTTCTGTTTTCTGCTCTGCCATATGTGATGAACATTGCAGCCAACAAGGCTCTAGGCCAGTTCTAAGAAGTGGACACATTTAAGGAACAGTATGGTCAGCCCACTTCTTGCTGACTTGTCAGATACCACTGTTGGCATCAGAACACACCCATTCCTCAGAAGAAGTACTTATTTCCCCCAGCTCCAGACTGAGGAATCACTGATTGCATTGCTTATTTTCTTTTTACCCCTTCAGTTAAGATGGGAAGGGTATAAGTCTACAAAATGAGTCTGCAAACCACTCAACTGCACTCATGGAACAGACCACTGTTGGAAAAGGACCAGATGTCAGTATCTCTTCAGTATGGCCACTTGTTCTTCTAATCCCTTTTTCAGTAATTTAAGTTGCACTGTAACAGCTGGGAGATTTTGGTATTCCCAGTTGATGTTAAAGGCTTAATGAGAACAAAACAGTTTTATTAGTTAAATGGCCCTGGACTGTTATCTTCTATGGAAGGCCACTTCCAAAGAGCAGGCCATACCTGTGTAATTAAACTCTTTGCCCTCCAAAGCAAGGTAATCACATCCAGATCATAGGGCCCTGTCTTTGGCCTGTGCTGATTTCTCAGCTATGCACAGAAATCATTTGGGGCAAGGGTTACATCTCCAGAACTACAACCACACTGAAACTCATGACCAGTGTGATCCAATTGCCCACAATTACTGCAGGACTGTTGTTGGGAAATACGTAGCTTAACAAGCTAGACAGCTTTTTGTTTTAAAAAAAGCTTGTTATAAAGATCCCTGGTAGCTTCAGCAACTGTGATTCTGTAGGAGAGTGTCCCTCCTGTTGCTGGCAGCAGTGTTAAATCACGGATGCTGGGCTCAACACTGAACTGAACATTTCAGACAGTGTTACTAACAAAAGGAAGGCATCAGTAGCTGCTGCTAAAATGTCCATGGTGGAGGAGTTCCTCTGCACCTGCCTGGGGCAGGAGCCCACCTGGATGTGCAGCACTGATGTGTACCATGAATGTGGTACCTGGATTTTGGTAGATTGAGCTCATGCATGTGATTCTAGACTGACTCCAGCTATTGTAGGTTTTTGTGGAAGTTTGCTCTGCTCTAACTGTACACAAGACAAATAGTCTGCTGCTAAAATGAGATGAGTGGAGCTGTATCACAAGCATAAAGCATTAGTCCCCAGCAGTCTGGCGCCTGCTCTCTTGCCAGAGGTGGGAGGAGCAGCAAGCAAACCAGTCTCACTGGCAGCACAAAAGCTTCTGCTGAAATCTAGAATAATATGTTTCATGTTCACCATAGCAACCAGCTTAATTTTGTCTTCAAAGCTTTTTTCCCTTCAACTCCTTCCTTTTCTTTCACACCTGAGGAACCCCCTTGACTCGTGGGAGGGTTGCCCAACTCCATCGTGGCAACTTGAAAGCAATGGGATGGGGTTCAGCAGCCACTTCCAGTGACATGCCTGCTGTGCTGCTATTTCTGTGCAGTGTGGCTCTGAAGGAAAGCCTCTTCTGTGCTCTTCACAACTGCCTCGGCCTCGTGACTTAGCTGTAATTTATGGATTCATGTTCTTTTTGAGCTTTTAAAAATAATTCTGGTAGGAGGAGTTTGTTCTGGCTCCAATTGAAGCCAGCAGCAGGGGCTGTGGGGGACTGGTGTTAAGAGCAGAATTGGGATGCCATTGCCCTAGGAGTGGCCTGCTTTGAGCAGGCAACTTTAATTTTCCTTCCAGATACTGAGATTCCCCCCCCCGCACTTCCAAGTGATCTGAGACCAGCCAGTGTTCAGCCGTGTGGCACTGGGGGAGAGGAGTGGCAGGAAGCAAAGGTTTGTTCGTTTACTGTTACCAATCCCATTGGAAACCAGCTCCAAGCCTCATGCAGAATTCCAGTAAAACCCTGTCCTAAAGGGGAAACCTGGGGCTGTTCAAAGCTTGTGTTTTGTTGGCTCAGGCACAGCATGTTTCTGAGGCCTCTGACCTCCTCCCCGTACGCTGGCTCCCGCCGCGGCTCTTCGTTTGAGCTCTCTGTGAAGTGGAATCTATCACTAATGTCTGATATTTTTATTATTTGTAGGGGGGACTCTTAAAAGCTGGTAGCAATTAGAGCTTAAACGTCTTGGAATAAAAAAAAAAAAAAATCCCCAAGAAGGAAGTTTAATGCTAAGCAGATGTGCAGGAGCAGCTGAAATATGCTGGCTGTCTTCTGCTTCAGAAGCAACCTCATCCACTTCTAGCTGCTGTCAGGCTGGGGCAGCTCAGAAGTGCTGCTGCTTTTATGCTGCTTCCTGGGCTGGGAAGCCCACACTGGTGACCTGTGGGATTGTTTACCAGTTAATACTTATATTGCCCTTCTTTTCTGGCTTAAGCCAATAGTTTTGACAAGGAGAAAAAATACTTTGTTTAAAAAGAAGTTTTTTTTGTGAGAAATTGCTGATTGCTAACAGAATTGCTTTATTTATGGTGAGATCTCACATGGGTGTCTGTCGATGTGGCTACTGTTGATCTAGGTTTAAACTCTGTCTTCTTGGGTGGACAGATCCAGGGTAGCCCTAAACTTGTGTTAAGTGCAGTGTATCTCCTCTAACTTTGGCTGTTTCTGTCTTTTGCTGCAGCTTGGGTGGGGGCAAACTTGAAACTTTCTCAGTTACTCCTGCAATACATCATCTGCTTGATTTATCATTGTCGTATTCAGGTTCTTCTGTGTGGAAAAAGATCTGACAGCTGACTGTAGTTCATAATTGTGCTCTGAAGGCAGTGGAAGTCTATTCAAAAGCTAATAGACAAGTTGCTGACAACAACTCCTTCACACCCTTTCCCGTGCGTGCCCGAGTCTGTAACAGAAACATGCTGTATATTCCCTCCAAGAGCTACAGCACAAGTTACTCTGCCAGATTATTTCCTGTTGCACTCCACCAATGCTAAGCCTTTTTCATTTTTTCTTAAATGGTAGTCCAAAGTAAATTATTGTTATTTATCACTGTGTATTTTGTAGTATATTGTGACAGTGCAGCACATGGGTTTGGGAGTCAGCTGGTTGAAAGACTTCAGGATTTTCTCCAAGCTGCCACTATAGAGAGTTTACTGCAAAGTAGTCAAAGCACTGAATCCATTTGAATTGCAGTGCACTACACAATGAAAATTCTGTCCCTAATTTAAAGAAAGGATTTCAAAACCTCAGCATTCCCTTAGTGCTGAGAAAACAGCAATGTGTTTCTTGGCCCTCTGGTTTCCATTGGGAAGGTTTGAAAGCTGTTTCTTAATGTTTGTATCATGCTAGCAATTCCTCAGTTCCATTGGTACTGTGAATCTATTATATTACTATCTATTAATCTTTTTATTGTCTTGGAGATACTCTGCAATTCAAAAGACAGTAACAAATAGACAAGGCCACCAGTATAGCCTGCTTTTCTCTCCACTTGGTTGATGGGTGCATCTTCTCTGTTGTTAAACTGCTGGGTGCAGAACAGGGTTCTCCATTGCAAATAGGCTTTCCAAATTGCATTTTGGGGTTGTAAGAATTTAGGAAATTCTTAGATTGTCATATAAACATATCTTTCTAGATGTCTCTTCTCCCAGGAAGGAGGGAGTAACAGCTGCCCTTCTGCTCCTTCATCCCACAGAAGGGGAATGTTTGTTATTTAGAAATGGGGGAAAATCTGTTAACTTTCAAAATGTATTTCCAGTGTATCCAAGAAAAAAATGAACAATTAACATTTGAAAATTATTCCCAAATTCCCAAGCCAAGTATTTCCACCTCATTTCATGGAGGGGGAGGGAAAACTTTTGATCTTGTTGGCAGCAACTCCTATCAGCTTTCACCTTAACCTGATCTCTGTCGCATTCATTGGTTAAAAAATGGATTTTCTACTTATACTCTGAATGTAACTTTATTGGAGTTTTGTACTCTTTTCTATGGAGCATTATTTGTCTATTGTTATTTTCCTTAATGCAATTCCATAGTAAGAAGATGCTTGTAGAAACTTATATGTGTTTGCTAAGCTCAATCTCTGCGAGTTGTCTGTGTGTCTTTTGGGTATGATTAACAGCTGCAAAGATAAATAGTTTTGCAGGTCTGAGGCTTAATAAGTCAAACTGTCTCTTGGTATGTGTCTTCTGAGCTATTGGGAATAAGCTCAGGGCATATCTTTTTCTTAGAGCTCAAAACTGGATGAGCTACAGATCAGTTTCAGAAGTTCTGCAAATCCACTAATACATAAAAATTAACTGGGTGCTTCTTATGACTTGACCTTCCTCTGAGTCCCCATCATGCCAACACTACTCTTACGAAAAGCTTTGCCTCTTTCAAAGCTGCCTTTACTAACTCTCAGATTTTCTGATATGACTGGTTTTGACTGTTTTCTTGTGTCTCTAATTACTTTCTTTTTTCATGGCTGCCCTATGATTGGATTTCAAGTTTGGATGTCCAGTTTGTCTGAGACTCCAAAAAAGAGTGTCGCTCCAGGTAAATTCTTGTGTCTTGGTGTTCTGCATGCTATTAAAACCAGAATTCTCTAGTTCAAGCTGTGTGTGGTTTTGGAGTTGTCTTGAATGTGAATCTCTGACAGTGGATACCCAGGATCTGTTGTCTAATTGTGTATTGGTTTTCATCATGCATGATTTCTGGTAAAGAAGAGCTTTGCTTTTCTGATGACTGCTTCACCTTGATGCTGCTAGCAGGGTTTAGTAGTCTGCAGGGTTTTATTTTCCTTGCCCAACCCAAACCCTCAGTCCAAGGCAGCTTCCCCTTTTGTGGTGGGCTGAGTCTGGTCACAGCTGAGTACCTGTACAGCTGTGCTCTCACTCTTGTATGTGGGAGAAACTTTATGGGTCAGGATAAGGCAGAGAAACTTGACTGTGTGCTCCTTATCCTTCTGAAGTGTTCTTTGCATTTCCCCAGTAAATAGAAGTGGTTTCGCATGAAAAAGCTGAAACTCTGATAAAGATGCAAAATCTTCAAGGGAGCATCAGCCTCCTTGTTGCAATGAGTCAGGAAGGAGAAGGAAGCAGGGGAACAGAATCTAGGTGAGGTGTCAGGGATTAGGGAGCAGTAGTCCCATACAAGGCAAAAACTAAGCTTTATACTATAAGGAATCAGGACTTCTCCTGTGTAACCAGTGGATTTCTTCTGAAAATATTTGTCACTTGACATGGAATATCACGGAAGAATTCCCTTCTCCTTCAGACTTAGAAGGAGAGATCACAAGTGATAGATCCCGTGTCTGTACAGCATGCTGGGCTGGTCACTCAAGCAGTTAAAGCTACATATAGGTCCTGGGGCAAGGAAAGATGGAAACACTCCTGCTGATTTTTATACCAGATTTAGTAAATATTCAAGTTCATGCCCTGTTAAAAGTATGTGAACAAAATCCCACCATCATTGATGGATGAGTGCTTGCTTGTCTGATTTTTTTTTTTTTTTTTTTTTTTTTGTGAGCAAGACTGCTGTGATTCCAGAAACACTGTTCTTGACAGAAGTTGAATATTTTCTTGGGGGGTTCTGCCTCATCTTTGCAGAATAGGTCTAATTTGAGGGTGGTAACTGGATATAAAAGTGCAGAAATATCTGAAGTATTCAGTCACAGGAGCCTGCTGCTTCGTAGGTCGTGGAGAAGTTAAGACAAAAAACAGAATGAGACTGAGCAGGAGAGAAACATGTTAAGGAGGAGACAGAAAAGGTGGTGTCCCTCAGGAAGAATGACAAGAACCCCTCAGATTACCAGGCTGGGGGGTGAGGTTGGGTTTCTTTGACTCAATAGGTCTGTTGGGACTGTTTCATGTTGTGATATACCAAGGTTTTTAGCCTTCTCAAAGGGTAAGAAAGCAAAGTCTTTAACAGATACAATTTTTTTCGTTCTGCTTACTGCTTTTAGCTAAATGCATGTTGCTAGATTGGCAGGAAAAAAGTGCATGATGAGTGTGCAAATATAAGTGATTCATTGCATTGCATGGTGCTCGAGAAGGTGAATGTTAATACATAGTGCTGCTCAAAAGTCTTATGTGCATTTGGCAAGTTCTTAGCTCCCCATGCTATTCTAGTTCACGTGGCCTTTCAGTTTCTTATCCAAATGGATCCCCAGTTTCCAAAATAGCTGATCTTCAGTCCAGACCTGCCATAGGCTGTATCCTGATGTGTCAAGCTGGTAGATCAGACTTGAATTTCGATGTGATCTTTACCTATGCAGTACATTTGTGTGTCCTAGCTAGGCTGTGGCTTGGAGATGAGAACAGAAGCCAGTTTCATGCTGCCCAAGCTCTAGCTGAGGTTATGAACCTGCTCCATGAAGTGCAGACTCTAACCACGACATTAAAGTGGTTTCATTTTGTACTTTGGAAAAAGATGGGTGCCACACAGCCACAGCCTGGGAGGTGCTGTGGTGGGACTGTAGTTTGGTTACCCTGGCTGCTGTTAAAATCCTTGGCTGGTTGCTTTGTGCCTTTTGGAGGGATGGGAATGTATTGCACCACTGAGCAGGACTAGGATGAATGCCAGAGTATATTGGTGACTTCAGCCTGGTGGAAGACCCAGTTTGGCAGCTGTGTGAAAATCTCCAAGCAGTTTAACAGATTTGTGTGCAAAATACCACTTAAGTATTCTTAACTGTTGCTACCTGTAACCTAGTTGGTTGGAATCACTGTTCAGAGAGCCAACTTTCGAAGAAGGAGTGGAAAGAGGACTCAACTTTTTACTTTCACCCTCCTGCCTCTAATTTTTCTTGGCTCTATTTTAAAACCTAGCAGATCAAAAATAAAAATCCCGAGACCAATAGGCTCCACTTGGCAAAGGTCAGCACTGAATTTTTCTGTTGGTCAGGATTTTGTTGGAAATGCTGCTGAGGGCTGTAAAGAGGGAAGAACTGAACTGGAGCAGCTGCTTGAGAGAGCTCCTGCCATTTACCATGGGCCAGGCTCATTCCTGAGGCGCTCCCGTGGGGGCTGTGTTTTGCTGCAGGTTGTAGCTGTGTGTCACACACACTCCAGGGCTGGAAGCCACAATCTACATTTAAAGCTGCCTCTTGTCCCAGACTCTTGAATGTTCACGCAGTGACAGAAGGTATTACGTGTGTCCTGTGGTGGGGAATGAATCCAGGCAGCCAGATAATTTTTTGCTGCTGTGATTGCTGATCATAGTCTCTTCTTGGTGGCAACGTGTGCTGTTGGCATGGGCCCCTATAGCTGTTTGTAGCAGCAACCCAGGAGGTTAAGAGACAGTTAGTGTAGCTCATGGAGTTACTATCTAGACCAGATTTTGGCATGTTTAGCCAAAAAGATAGCAAGAAGGGCTAGAGCTTTGGCTACAATTGCCCCATGTCCTGAAAGGCTTGCAGAGCACATGAGCAAGGAAGGTGGATGGTTGGATGGATGCTCACTTAGAGAGAAACTTCTCATACATCAATCACGGCTGCCAGGCTGGGGTGAGAGGGTTTACATGCTGACCTGGCCGTTGCTGGGTGCATGATGCTCAATCTTGATTTCTTCTTTGGGCTTTGGACAAGGTTTTAGGCTAAACTTCTCTGGCTTTGAGTCTTCTGCATTACCTAGGTGGTCAGATCCAAACCATTCCCTTTCTGCTTTCCACCCATCTCTATCTAATAGCAGAGTGTCACCTGCCTCTGAAACTCTTCTGAAAATGCAGTAGAGTGTCTTTGTGCTTTGTAAAAGAGCTACCTGGCCAGGCTCAGGGAAGAACTACAGAAATCACAGTGTATTAATAACCCATTTGATAAACTTGCCCAAATGGTTTTCTTCTATAATTGGCAATAATCCAGACCTTGAGACTGGCTTTGTACTGAATTTCTGAAATAACTGTGGGAGGTGATAAACTTTTGTCTCTGTCCCTAAAGCTTTGTGGCTCAGGGCTGCTACACAAGAGCCTCTGAACTTTGAGGCTAAACACTGTTAGGACTGGGAGGATTGCTCTCTGGTGGGAGGGATGAAGATGAATCCCCTTCCCTCACAGCTTGTGGCAGTAGTAGTCTTACCTCCAGGAATAATTGATGTATAAATACAGTCTGAATTTTGGTAAGTGGCAACGGGGCTGAAGTGTGACAGGCTGCAGTGCAGGAGTATCTAGGAGATGAGTCAAAGCCCTGATTGTTTAGGGCACACAAAGAACAAAAAATGAACAAAAATCCAAAGTACCAAGACAAGAAAAAAACCCTCTCACTGAATAGAAGAGAGATCCTAGACTGGGAAACACAGTTTTGATCTGAATCCATGTTGTCCCCATAGAGATTTGTAGCAGGCTTCATTAGACTCATCACACTGCTTACTCTAGGAACTGGTTATTTTAAGAACTGCTTTTCCAACACTGCTGTAATGTGATGAACTCTGGTGTACTCTCACATGCATTACATGGCAAAGTCTGTTTTATCTTGTGTGCAGTACACACTTAACCCAATTTTTAGACAAACCTAAGCTCTCTATCTTAACACTATTCAGGTTAAATCACAGCTAGAAGGCTTAAAGGAAACATGCAATTTTAATGTTTATTTATTATAGTTATGTGATCCTTCTAGATAAGAAAGAAAAGAGGTGAAGTTTTTAGGGAAAGGAATTCCATGTGTTTAGAGCTGGGTGTATGATTGCTGTAAGGGGTTAGACTGGTCTGAGGATTTTAAGTAGGCTTGCTGCTATTCTGGACTTTTTTTTTTCCCTTCATCCTTCCCCAGAAGGAGTTTTTCAGAGACACATAAAAGTTTACCCTTCAAGAACTGGCTTTAACGAGAAACCACAGCTCTAGATCCAAGCTACCACAGTTACTCCTCCCTGTGTGTGGAAAAGTGCAGAGCTCTGCCATTATCTTCTGGAATGCCAGGACGCTCGGGGCCGTGTCTGCCAGGCACCCCAGCGTGCAGGCTCTGCACGTGTCCCAGCAGCTGTGCCCATGGCGGAAGGGCTGGACTACCTGCCAGTTGGTTCTTCAGCTGTGACTCACCCCTATGGCGTTCACTGGCCGTTTCTGTGGTTTTGGCTGCTTCTGCAGGACTTCCACTGACCAGCCCAGTACTAATTCATTTTAGTCTTAATCTGTAAACATTTGATTGATAATCATGAAAGAGCAATATCAAAGTCTGTGCACTGTATGGATTAAAAGAGCAGACATGTTTATAGCCTGATAACAACAGAGTAATCTGGCAAAGATCAGGAGTCTCACATTCCCATATCCAGATGATTTTATTTTTGGAGTCCAGTTGGTGGTTTTCATTTTTGGCTATTGCAAAACCATCATAGGTCCTAGCTGTTGCAACACAGGAGGAGGAGGATGATGTTGTTGGAACGGATGTTCTGCGCCCTTATTTAGGAGGCTTTCACAGTCGTTGCCGGTCTCCGAGTGTAGCAGGAGGAATGATGCTCCCTCCTCGCTGCCTGGTGAGGGGGACAGGGTGCAACTGCTGTCACTTAATAGTGCCAGCTCTAAGGGGCATGGACAAGCTCCAATGACATTTCTGCTCCGCCCCAAGAAGAGAAGTGCTGAGGTGAGGAGCGGGAGGATTGTAAAGTGGAGCCCTATGGAGAGGAGGAGGGGTATCCTCAAGACTTTAACCGGGAAACGGACTCGAGGCAAAAAGAAATGGAGAGGCAAGCAAACTCTTATTTCAGCCAGCAATCTGTGCTCTGCTCTGGGGAGGGCTTGCAAGTTGGAGCTTAACCAAAACACTAATTCTGCTTTTTTGGAGGGAGAGGAGGGGGGACCTCTACCTAGCACATCAATGTCATGCTGTCCTCTGCTCTCCATTTCTCCTGCCTGGGCTGAAGATGCTTTTTAAAAAGTAGGGCTGTTGTGTCAGGGTGGTACTGCAGCTGCATGTGAGCTTGCTGGGAACTCGTGCCACGCTGCATCGCTGTCCCCTTGTGTGCTGACACTGAGCAGGCTATTACTCTTCAATGCATGCTGTGTCCTGTGTTACAAATTAGACCTAAACTAATTGGAGGGATGCGGAAGCGCCCAGGGCAGTGGGTGTAATTGGTGCTGTGCTGCCTGTGGTGTTGCCTGTCTTGTTCTTTTGAATCCCTTTTGGAGAGTCTGACATAGTGTAGCAGCAATGTTGTGGGCATCCTGAGTGTCACTGAGCAGTAATTCATCTAAAGCTTGTGGGGGATGGGAGGCTGAGGAGGATGAGAGTCCCTTACTTTACTGACTCTGCCTGAAGGGAATGTAGAAACAACCCAAACCAGGCTACCCAGAAAATGGTTAAGGCTTTTGGTTACTGGAAGGAGCTGTTTCTGTCTTTTTCTCCTCCTCCTCTTCTTCCTTTCCTTGCTCTTACTGAAACCTTCCCCATTGTGCAGTACCTAATCTTGGGTGACCATCACTCCAGGAGCCACAGGGACCCCACGCCTCGAAAGGGGGATATCCTCTAGGCATGATCTGCTGCAGCTGTAAATGAACAAGTTTGTTTGACCTTGGTTACTTCCTAGAACAAGGAATTTATCACCCTATTTTTTTTTTTGTCTTAATAGGAGCCTTGTAGCAGTTATACAAGCGTCTGTTAAAACAATCTCTTAATTGTATGAGTTCCTCCAGCCACTGTAGTGACAAAGAAATCCTCCTGCAGTGACTACCTTATCCAAGCCAGGGCACAGCAACCCAGAGAAACCCTGCTGGGTTTCAGATAGGTTATATCTGCATTCTCATATCTTGCCAAACTGTTTTAAGTGCCTTTTTTTTTTTCTTGAAGCAGAGTTGTGGAGGTGGATTTGAAGTGCTGATTCTCCATGTTTCCTGGCAAGGGCATTCCCCTGGCACACAGTCCCTGGCGTGGCCTCTGTGGCTGCCAGTGGGGTGTTTGCCAGCCTGTGCTCCAGCCTGGTCCTCTCTTTGTTCCCAGCGGGGACACATGCATCACATGAACACTGCTCCTGCCAGCAAGCCCATGCAGTCTTTTGGTTGGTTTTTTTTTCCTTACTCCAGTCCCATGAAAACTGCCCAGTAGGTTGGAGGAATGAAGGCATTTGAATTGTTGGTTTAGCAGTTAGCTTCCTGCATGTCCCCTGCTCCCCTTGCCACTGTTTGGTCCCTCTTGCCTTTCTACACATTGAATTCTCTGCTGGGTGCATGTGCAGACGTAAGTCCATGACAGCTTTTGTTTCTAGTTAAAAATCTTGTCTTTATCTCAAGACTAAAATAAGTAGGTATTACTTGCCTAAGCAGGTTGAAGGAAGATTATAACATGTGCAGACGTAAGTCCATGACAGCTTTTGTTTCTAGTTAAAAATCTTGTGTTTATCTCAAGACTAAAATAAAGTAGGGGTTGTAGGTATTACTTGCCTAAGCATGTTGAAGGAAGATTATAACGCTGCTGGATTCTGGACTGGAGAAAAGACTGTGTGGGAAACAGTGTGAAACAGGGGAAAGCATCTCATTGTACTCTAGATAGCCCAACTAGCACTGGTTTAAACCAGAGTGCATGAGTCAGGGTGATTGATCATGAAGTGAAATGTGATGCTTATTTGGAATGGACAGCTATGGTGAAAATTTGTATTATAGATTTCCATGTTGTCAGTTCATGGTCTTCTCCTCCTATTCCTGCTACTGGCTGTGGTTCAACTATCTATAGAAAAGCTAAATCTCTTAAACACAAGCTTCTAGAGGAGATGACTCCTCTTTAAAGAAAATTAACTTACGTAATTTGAGGAGAGGCAGAGGCATGCTTAGGGAGCAAGTAAGTCTTCTAATTTTCTGGATTTCTTAAACCTGGTCCGAGGGGAGGCATTGTGATAGTGTTTCCTTTCAGGAAACAGTTGAATTAATTGCTTTTTTTCTAGGATTTTCATTTCACAGGATGCTGTTTTAATGGCTGAGGCATTCTTTACCTCTTTCTTGGCAGGGATGCTAATTACTTGTCTGTAGAATCACTTTGCATCTCCAGCCCAAACACACGAACATGCTGAGTTTGTTAATATAGCACCCAGCATCCTGTGCTTGGCTGTCAGTCCCTTGACTTTTCTGGTGGACAGTTTCAGACCATGCTGCTTCCTTCCCATCTCCTGTAGCCAATTTGTCATCAGAAATCCAGGAAAACCTGAAGTCTGCTCCTGGCTGTGTTCCTGTTGTGTAAAATGGGACATTCAGCAAACTGTATATCTGCTTCTGTCTTCCCTTTCAATCGGCATCTTAATCCAGAGCAACAGGAACTGCCTCTTGATATGCAAATTGTTAATAATGCCAGGCCCCAAACAGCTGTAATTGAGAAAATGCAAAATTATTTTACAGGTTAAGGCATGTTGGCTCTTACAAAGTAAAGACCTAAACGGAGAGGTTCTCATGCCTTCCCAAGGCGGTTTCTGGGCCGAGCAGAGCCGGTCCGTGCCGGGGTTCGGGAGTGCAGGGTCTGCGCTGTTCGTGTTGTGCTGCAGCGCCGGGATGCAGCAAGGGCTCCCTCCACATCTGGCACTGCGCTGTGCCTGCCTCGTGGCTCCACCTCGAAACCCAGGATTTCGGTTTGGGGGTGAAAAAGTCAGAAATGCTAACAATAATAATAATAAAAAAGACCAGTGGTATGGGGGAAGGGAGGGAGGAGAGCGTTATTTTGCACCTTTCGTGGCCCCTGTTGGCGTGAGCGCCTGCTCTCATTCATAAATGGCTCTGACAGCCGAAAGCCCTTGCTCCGAAGAGAAATCAAACAACTGGGGGCTGGCTGCGAGGGCTCCAGAAAGGCGATGCAGAGGGGGAGCCGAGCCCGTCCCGCCGGGGCTGCGCTGCCGGGGGAATGCGGAACCGCGGGGCAGGCGGGGGGCGGCCGTGCTGGAGCAGCGATCTGGCGCTGTAACTTTTTTTCTTCTTCTGTTTCAAGTAAACACTCTTCCCCGCCCTCCCCTCGCTCCCTCCACCCCACCTCCCTCTCTTTCAGCCCCGCTCATGTGTTTCTATTTAAGGGCTGCAGTGCAGACGAATATGATTGGCATCTACAGCCCCCTCTTGACTTTCAGCTCAAGCCTTTAGAGTGGAGAAGGAGCTGAGCCGCCAAGGGGAGAGCTGTTTCTTCTTTGGGTTTACTGGGGGGATGGCTCAGCTGTGGATTTATACTGCTTCTGCCCAGGATTTTTTTCTCTGAATGGGAGCAAGGATTGTGGAAACCATGTTGGGAAGAGGTTTATTTTCAGAATCCATCATGAAACTGTGCAACTAATTCACTTTTTTGGCTCCTTTTTATATTTTTTTTCCTCCCCTTTTTTCTTCTTCTTCTCTCCAATGTCCCTCTGTGCTGCTGGGTTGTGGGCCAGAGGAGGCTGTTTCTATATGGCCAGCCATTTGGGGATATGCTGCGAGCCAGGGTTGTTTGCTGATTCGCTTGGCTCTGGTGACAAGTTGGCCTGTTGTGAATCGGATGGACGGAGGTCGCTCTCAAGGAGCCATGGCTGGAAGCTGGCTTACAGCTTGCTTTTTCCCTTCCCCAGGTGCTGATGCTAGCTCTGAACCCATGATCCTGGAGCAATATGTGGTGGTTTCCAACTATGAGAAGCAGGAGAACTCTGAGATCAGCCTCCAGGCTGGAGAGGTCGTGGATGTCATAGAGAAAAATGAAAGCGGTAAGTTATATTTGCTGCTTTCCCCTCTTCTAATGGTCTGATTTTTGCATTTGTTCCTCTCCTTTCAGTTTCCTCATCACTACTTGTTAGCTGTACGTTTGCTCCATCTGGTACAGTTACTATGTCTGGCAGAGGATGTTGAAGTTTTTCGATGTTGATTTGGGCTGGGGGCCAAATGTTGCCTTCTACTGTAAGAATGTTTCATAGGTTTTGTGTGTTAATTAGCCAAGGTACGCTAATGGAAAATGAAGGTGACGGAGAGAAGGATCTGCAGCTAATGAAGCTGATGTATAGTAGGCTGCTATAGTTGCCCTGCTGTCTCTTCAAGTTTCTGTCAGTATTTCCATTACTAATTCCCTTTGCAGAGGATTTATAGGATGAGTGTTTAAAAATTGCTTGGATTGAAACTTGGCTTGACAGCTTAGCCCGTGGCCCAGAGCTCAGTAGGGAGGGGAGAGAATGTGCGTAGATAAATACGTGGCCATGCACAGTTTCAAAACTTCTTGCAGAAGTGTTAATTGGGGAATTTTGAGGCAAACAGGCAGGGGCTGTAATGTCAAAGCAAGATGAAATCCCCTTCTGCCATGTGTGGAATAACCAGCTTGCACTTGGAAAATGAGATTTTTGGCAAGTGTTTGTATAGATTTCTTTTCTGTACTCTAACTTTTGGATGCCTGGTTGCTTTCAGTTGGGCAGAACACATGCAGGAGGCTGTGTACGTGTGAGTGGTTGGAGTGGCTTAGCAGCTGGTTTGAATAACTGCCTGTCTTCAGCAGCTCCCCCTCCTCCTCTCCAGCTCTCCTTGTATATTAATCCAGAGCTGTTGTCCACGACTGGTTTCCAGCCCACTCGTGACTTGTGTGTCCTCATCCAGAGGAGCTGCTGACATTTGGATCTGTTGAAGCCAAGGCTCACGTTGTGGTGCCTACACATTCAGGGCTCCACTGGCAAGCTCTGGAGTGTGCTGGGCACAGCAGAGCTTGGGGACACTGGGGCGCTCTGATCTGAGGCTCAAATTCAGCTTCCAGAGCTTTGAGCCAGGTTATCCAGAGAGTTGACCATGCATTGTATTTTTTTCCCCTTCTTTTAATGGAGTGGTAATTTCTGTGTTGTATGAGAGCCTCATGCTTGTTTGGCTCAAAGTGATCAGTCATTTGCTGGATGGTTATTTCGTGTGGAGTCCAAAAGGATTGTGTGTGGAAAGGCACTGGCTAATGTGGGCAGAAATACCCATCTCCTGGGTACTGACTGTATCACTCGCAAAACTAATGGAAGCCAAACTGCTCCTCTGCCCCACTTTACAGCAGTAGTTTTGATTGAAGAGGGAAAAATGTCTTCGCTTCTTGAACTGTGTCTGGCCTAGTGGACAAGCATCCTCCCTTCCAATCCTGCAGCTTCTCGTTGTCAATAGTGGGTGTCCCTGCCATCAGAGCAAGCCTGGTTATATTGTGGCAACTTGCATTCATATTCATGGTATCCTTGTCTTGGCTAATGGCTTATGGAGCCAAGGGAATTAATTGGGCTGTTAAATAATGCAAGTGTCTGAATTCCAGTTACAGTTCCTTTGTGTTTTCATTTAGTGTGGCCTCTCTGCCTTGCCCAGTTCAGACCACATTGTATTGAACCACATGGTATGCAGAGATAGAAATGGGGAATGTCAGAGTTTGAATTAATTAGTAGGTCCTGGAATGGGACTCTTCTCAGGGAACATCCTTGAATTTGGATTATACTTCTTAAAACCATATTCTGATGCTTGGCAGCCAGATTCCTTCATGTCCATGTAAACAAGAAAGGAAATCTGAAGCCTGAAATTCCATGCTCTCCTTTTGGTCTTTATATATGTACAAAATAAAGATATCTATATCCTTAAAAAAAGCCAAACACCAACAGATAAGCTCATAAGTCACACATTGGTGATGGAGAGAGCACCACTTGCTTGGATGCCTTTTTTAACTGTTCTTGTAGGGAGCTTTTGATTTAGTTATTCCAATAACAGGACTCGAAACAGTCTCTTTATTCTTCACTAGGTTTAAGGGACACCACAGGAATTACTTCAATACTGTATCTTGTCTCTTCAACTACAACTGAACCTTTGGATGGCATGTAATGAAACTAGCAAAATTTTGTCAAAATTCGACTTTCAGAACTTATGAATTATGGCTTGAATTTGAGTATCTGCTTAGTGTAAGCAAGCCAACCTAGAAGATGTGGTTATGACATCTAAGAACGTATCATTTCCAAGGGGATATAATTTCCAAGAAAATAAGATTATTGGGCTTTGCACATGTGTAATGCTTCATTTGACTGTATGGTTATGTTGGCCTTGTAAGTGTTGTGAAGCTTTGCCTGTGATGTATAAATTAGGCTCATTCTTCTAATCCATGCAAAGGAGATGCCAGGTGACTTGGATGTCACTTGGAGCAGAGACAGTGTCTTCAGTGGAGGGAAGGAGAAGTGGCTGGACAGCTTGTTAGTAGACAGCTAAAAAGTCCTGTCAGACTGGACAGTGTGTATTGGATGTGATGTTGGACCAATATTTTGAACTTCCTTGTATGTACAGACGTGTATATAGCATATCATGTCTGCTTTGGGTGTTTAACTGTACTGAGGGGAGGTTAGGTTTGTAAAGGCACAGATGATTGTTTCATTTTAAAACCTTGCCTGAGTGGGGTTGCCTGCTGATGCCAAGGACACTTAAATGGTTTTCTTGTTTCTGGAGCAGAAAAAACTTTAACTTGGCTTTGTTGCTTGGCTTTCATAGGAAAGAAACACCTTCTCTTTTCTGGTCAAATGTCCCTATTTTTTTTACACAAGGAACATCACAATCAGCTTCCAAATGATGGTGCACTTTTCACATCCTGCTGGATGTTTTCTTCTGCACACTTCTAGGGCCTGAGCTAGAGTTACCATCTTTTCTGATCTTTTCTTCCAAATTGTGTGCTTTCCTGAAGGGATGTAAGCAGTGCTTGTTCAGAGCCCAGTGTATAGGGCAGAGGTAGAAGGGGGGAGATATCTGGTATTTGATTTATTGAATATTATTATCAATTATTATTATTATTATTATCTGATATTTCATCAAGCTTCTTTAGCTTCTCCTTAATGTGTCGCACTTACTGTATAGCATTGCTCAGTGTTAATTTTCTCATATAAGAGATGGTGTTTAAGGTGTCTCACAGGTAGATGTCTACAAGCCCATTTGGTAGGGCCGTGTCTCATTTTGGTTTCACTGAAATAGTTGGATAAGTTTTGTGCTAGTGAAAGTTATTATTATAGTGGACATTATTTGAAGTTCAAACCACTGTTTCTCTCACCAACTTCTCTCCACTGTTATGACTTAAGAGCAAGGTCAGTGTAGTATATGTGGTGAATAATTCCAAAACCCGTAATCTGAGTTGTGAAGCCTTTAGGTCACTATAACCTGGTTGTTGCTGCAATTACTGTGGAAGCAAGCCTTGCTAGACTTAAATAAAGCTGTTGTACTTCAGAACAAGTTATTTAGTAGTGTACCAGCTCTCAGGCTTCAGCATTTGGTTTTTGCAGCCAATGCCTGTCTTGGCTCAACAAACTTGTCCTTCAGACCTTAATTCTGTTTATAAGAGCAAAATACCCAGTGTGCCTGTTGTATCTGATGAATACTTATCTGTTTCTTTTTTTTCCTTAGCTGGGAGGAAAATCTGCATGTAGTAATGCATCAGGAGAAAAAAGGAGGTTTACAGTCTCTACAGATGTTGTCTGGAAAGGGGCTGTAGTTACAGGGCTTATGTTTCTTGCTAGAAGTGACTGTGATTTGTTTAAAGGCATGGTGTAATCAACCTGCTCTGTCCAACACTATCTAAACATTTCTGAGTTGTTTCAGAAAAACTATGTGAGTAGCTGACGTAAGTCCTGTCTGTCGACTACATAGGCTTCTTTTAAACCTTAACCAAAAAAAGCCTCGGGAATGACTTAAAAATGTATTTCTGTTGCAGAAAAGAAATGTTGTGACTTTAAAGCAGGAATCTGACAGATTTCTTTAAGGTGGAAGAGGGAGGGCTGGAGCAGCTCCCTCTCTGCCAAGTTTTGCATGGATGTGGCTTGAAATGGTCAAGCTATAAACTGTGTCGGCAGTGTTTGCAATGGAAAACCTGACAGACAGTGAAGTATGAGCACAGTCCTGAGCACCTCTGCCTCTGCTGCTGCTGCTCTGCCTGCAGGCAGGATGGGAGCTCTTTCCTTGCAGCCCCTGGGAGCCCTGCCTGCGGTGCAGACATCGTGGGATGGCGTTTTCAGCTGGGCTGAGCAGGGCTGTAGCCATTTCCTCTGCAATTACATAACTGCAGACCAATTTTCAGTGTTACGGTACATGTAATACGTAAAACAAGGCTATTATGGTTAGTGTAACTTTATCAGGACTCAAAGGAATCTCTGGGAAGGGAGGCTGCTCTTCTCACTTTATCTGGGATGTGGACTTGGCTCTGAAGTATCCATGAGGAAGATCTTTGCTCATCTGGGGGTCCTGACTTAGAGATCCTGGGACTTGCTGGTTGTCCACACAGTGTCAGGAGATGTGTGCGTGGCAATGTCCTCTGTTACACCATTTGGTTTCACTGGTGCTGCTCACTGGCTGCAGTTGTGACCTAGGAGAGGGACATAGAAGGGCCACAACTCTCAATTCCTGGGGATGCACTGGCTTCTGCATTGGAAGCTGCCTGTTCTTAGATTGAGGGCTTTTGGAGTTAGGCTTCTGCCTCTTCATGGGGAACGCAGCAGCCTTTATCTGAAGGTGTTGCTTTCCAGGGTTAAGTAAGTGGAATTATTTGGTACCAGAAGGAGCCAAGATTACTTTCACAGTTAATTGCAGCATCTTGGCTAAAGGCACACCCTTAAAGTGTTCTAAGTAGAAACAGAGAAATAGGTTTTCTTACGACTCATGGACCAGTGTTGCATTTTTATATCCTTTCTGCCATGCCTGTTTTTGCAAGTAGCACTGATTTTTCATCACCTTTCTTTAGTGTTGGCCA